TTGAGAAATGCAACGAATCTAAAAAAAACAAGGAAAAGCAACATGACCTCAATAAGTCGTGCAATAATGCGTAAGAACAATAAAAATAATATTTTTAAAAATCCCTCACATTGGCACTAGCAAAATTCCGCCTACTTCCCCCGCTCTATTTATTGAATCAAAGATGTTTCAAGAATACCTTAGACCCAAATTATGCAGAGATAATACAAGGCGAAAGAAGAAGAAGTTGCGCCAAGAAAATGTACCCCTCCTACTTTGATCCCTCAAAAATGGCCAAGATAAAGCTCCCCTATGAAAATTAACCTATGAGTTAAAAATTGAAAAGTAAGCGCAGACGGCGTCAAATTCAGAGAGGTAACGAAATAACTGCTTAAAGAAAGACTCAAGAGTGCGCATCAAGGTATGGACTCATTTCGTTATGTGCGTACACCAGCGGAAAATTTGGCGCTGACTACCTAGACATTCTTAGAAGGTTCTCCCTAAAGCACAAACCAGCCTTCATGTGAGCTCTATGCCTAAAGCGAAATTAAGCCTAAAATTCCTGCAAAAATTATCAGTTAGCAGTCTTTGCAAGAACACGCTACTGTGCCTCCGCAATTCATGATATAAACATGAATTGGAGAAATCCGATCTAAAAAAACGAGAATATCATATCTGGTCAAGCTGTGGATAAAGATAGGGACTTAGTAAAAAGAAGAGATGATAGGTCAAACAGATTATTTTCTCACTCACCCTAGAAATTTGCTTCGAAAAGCCATCATCAGTCCAAAAGAGTACATATTCCACGTAGTCGATCCGCCATAACCCATTTCATTCAGAGCAAGAGCCACGTGACAATAGCAGTTGTTGCAGCAGATATTGTGCTAAAAGGCAAGAAGGAAAACGGAAAAACGAATGACGCCTTGTCTTCTGTACTTCGAAAATGATCTGCTCCCAAAAAGCTCGCTTGTTACTGAGCTATCTGGAGAAATTTAACTTCCACAACTCCCGTATAACGCTGGCACTTAACCAAACCTCTCCGTTCAAGCACAACGCTGAGACTAAAAAGGACCAGTCGCTTTTCTAACAATCCTTTCACATTTAATGATGTGCCAAAATATGCGTTAAGTATGCTATCACGGGGGAAAGTAGCTGCTTTGCACATGTGAAATGCTGGTAGACAGTGTGCCAATTTATTTACATGGCAATGTTCAAAACGCCTGATGTGACATCCAGCAACAGATCGAGGGACATTAACAACAACGGAATAGGTGAATGAAATGGTGACCAGATTAAATTCATAATCCGATGAACCAGAATTAGTACAGTGAGTGGGCGCATGAAATTCATATTCCTATGTTGATCCAGGAAGAATGAATGGGAAGGTCCATAAACGCATAAACAGGTAAGAGATAGAAGATGGGCTAAAAGAACTGGAAGGGGTCGAATTAGCTCACACAGATAAGTGATCCTGAGGTGGACGCAGTTCTTTTGAAATAGGAATACGGTGAATGTGGAAGGCAGAAAAAACTCACCATGCGTCCCTTAAACTCCGTATTCGCTTCATGCACAGCTCTGTCCCAATTCTCCGCCCCACCTACGGACTCCATATCCAGCTGGAGGTAACGTGTGGGCCACCCGAAGGCCATGTTATCCTCCTGAGGCCATCAAGGAAAACAAAAATTCAGCATCCGTTGGACAAGAGAATGGAAATATGATGTGCAAAACCAAAATCAAGACTATCAATAAATTAATTAAACGGGACAGATTGAGTTATGCTCAAAAAATACCTATCATTAGTCCACGAGTGGGAACAAGGAGGTGACAAGTGAAGTTTTAAAGCTTTACATTTACCCGCTTAGGTTGAAATAAGAACAAAAACGCCTAAATCCCACAGTTCTGAGTAAAGCGCTTATACATGGGTATAACGAGGAAATTCCGCACGTTTATTTAAGGAAGATATTCCAAAAAGACTTTAAAACCATGTTTTATAAAAATTCCTTTAGCACTAACATAATTTAAAAGAGGTGTAGTACATACAAAACTCACACAACCATGGCACAATTAACAGACCCATAATGGGCAAAAATAACCAGGAGTTTAAGTCAATAAATGGGACATGTGCCATATAACAACTTAAAATTAGGGAAATATCGCTGCATGGCGGTGGAAGGAACCTAATTCTTCAGCTTGAACCTCACCATGCCATCTGGACTTCGCCACGAACTTCAAAGTGTGAAAGGACTACAGGAAGGCATATAATAGATCCACCAACCCAAATTCATGACAGTAATTAAGAACACTACTTCCGAGAATGCCTAGAACAAGGCGACAATATTTTGATCATTGACTCATTGCTAGGTCACAACAAAATAGCACTATTTACTGAACAATGACGATAAAAATTGCCTTAAAAATAGAATAGGACGTAACCCCATAAAAGGATCGTGTTTAAACAAGATCAAAAGAAGTACAAATTAGCTTGAGGGACAACCAACAATTAAAAGCAAAACAATTAAATTCCGGAAAAAAAAGCATCTGTAAATTAATGGCAACGAAAGCACATTCCATTAGCCACATCAGGTGATAGACAAATATGAAATCGCACAAAAAGAAATTGAGGAGTTACATAAACAAAAGTAAATGCCATGCGAAATATGATTTAAAGGATTCGAATACTCTGTGGATTTAAAAGGTGCAAGCGACATTAAGGATATGACAGACAAACATTTGAATCGGGGAGAAGTATGTGAAACTCACACTGATATAATATGGTCCAGCGAAATCGTAAATTACACCTTTTGAGTTAGTGATGCCGACGTGCCCGATTAAAGGAAAAAGCCAGCTAAATGCATGAATTCGGAGCAATGAGAAAAGGCCTCCCTACGTAATGATGGGGAGAGGTGTCCACACAACGCAATGGGGATAGCGATGGGTGCGTTGATTAATCTGCCCACCGGGGTGAAGCATTTCGACGTTTGGAGGGACTTCTGAATCACCACTTTCCATACAACCAAAGGGAGAAGGCTGAAAACAAAACCGCAAATCCGAGTCGATAACATAAAAACATGAAAACTGTACACAAAAAGCAATAACAAAAACGAACCACCAATCACCCCCGATGTAGGGAGACTGTTGATCAGCTGCTTTATTAAAGGATGTATTTCTAAACCAACTTACTAAAACAAAAAGTAAAAATTTATTTATATACGTACAAGAGCAGTGAAGATTGTAGTAATAAAATAAGTTGTGATAAAACTAATTGAGCAAAGCAAATGACTTAAATTAATTCTAATGCAAGTAACTCACTTTAAAGATTGGACCAGTAATGCTTAACGCGCAAAACTGACTAGCACTGATAATCGGTAATGTTTTTTCTAGGCCATTACTAAAGCATGTCGAAGCAGCGGTTTACCTAATAGAGAAATATATGCATGTTCCCATGCCTCAGGACCCGTTGTCCAGTTGGCTTGATTGTGTCAAGACAGCCATCGACGTGTTTGCAATTGAATCAGAAAATTCACTGAATGGAGGTGTAATGCTTTGTTTATGTGACTACCTTAGATTCAGCAGTCGCTTCAGGATTTGACCGGCTCTTGTACCTGTCGGCTGGCCTTCGGGCCATGCTCAGGTTCATTTGCTCCATCCTCTTCGAAGTACATGTATCCAACCTCACTTACTGCCTCCTTCCACCCTATGGGAGGTCGCTAGACGCTACACTGGTGTCAGCAGAAAGCAAAACCGAAATTTTTCTGATGTTGTTTGTTGCATGTACCTATGGTGTGGAAGAGACGTATTTGCATCGGTGAAGGAGACTCTTTGAATCTCTCACAACGAACGATTTAGACCGACATCTATATTAGGTTTCACCTTATTCCCGTGTTCCATAGACAAGCTATTAACGACTGAAGCGACACAGCCATGAACCATCTGGAGAAGTTTCGTTTCGGAATTCCTTCTAAATAGTCCGTGTGCAGATTTCGAAAATAGCACTCCGGTTCTTCTTTTATGCGGGACAGTGGCTCATCCCGTTTTCCCTGTAACATACCCGTTTTAGACCCAAGTTCCACCGTCTAGTCCTGGAAGCAACTAATTGTCAACAGGTGTATGCGGCCTTGAATTTGGTTGTCAGAATAAACATAACTCCAGGTCCAATCGAAGCCGCCAAGGAGAACAAGTGGTTGGCTTATGAATGCTTTCATGTAGTACCGAATATGTTGTGATGGCTGGTGCGGGAGGTGTATCAAGAGGAGCGCTGAGAACGTCGCTCAAAAGAAGGGAGAGGCAGTGCAATGCTTTGTTTGCACGACCACCTGACGTTTGACGATCGCTTCAAAATACATGTATCGAACCTCACTTACTGCCTCCTTCCATCCTATGGGAAGTCTTGAAACGCTAAAAATACTTAACCAAAATACATTACAGCTTTTTAACAAAGAATTGAGCACTCTCCCAAGATACGCATACCATTCGCACAGCTACTTCTTGCGACAAATGTGG